GGGCAGCAATCCCGGTGATTCTGTGTATATTAAAGTTTGATAACCACTGGTTTAGACTCTCCCTGTGGGTCCTCCTTTCCTAAGAGGGACAAAGTAGCTGTTATTCTCTACCTTGGGGATAGAAAGAACCGATATGCGGCGGGTGTCTTCAATTCCTCGTAGGATAGGAAGACTAAGCTGCTGGGGTGTGTGTGTGCGTGTGCACACTCGGGGATACAGACAGAACATACTGCTCCTTTTCCCGGGTACTCCCCACCTCCCCGTGGAACAACTTTAGAAAACTCGGTTTCCTCATCCCTACACACAGTCCTCCCTTGCCTGAGGAGTAGTGGTGGCGCGGGGCGGACAGGGGCATGCTACTCTGCTTTTCCCAAGCAGGTCGGGTGGGACCCTCTCCCCCTACTTCTGCTGTTATCTAGACCGCAGAGAGGGGAGAACCTCCCTCCTCACTCTAACTCCCCGCGGTCCTGACACTGGAGGGGAGGCCCGGTTCTCTGTCCCTCCTCCCTGGGGTCCTGGCACCGGAAGAAGGGTTTCGCCTTTCCCCCCGGGGTCTTCACACCGGAAGGGGGGATTAATTCTGTGTCCCTCCTTCTCGGAGTCCCGGGACCCGAAAGGAGTGGTTTCCTCTTAACCCACCGTTTCTCAGGTACTCACCTCGGGGGGCAGGTAAGGGGGGTTGTTGGCTTTGGCCCCTCTGTTCCTTCCGTTCTTCTTCTTCCCCTTCGGGCCCCCGCAGCCGCTGCTGCCGCCGGCCCCCCTAGACTTGAGGGTTCCGCCCACGGCCGGGCCCCCTCCGGGCCGGCAGCAGCCGCCGAACAGCTCCGATACCCGTGAGTCCATCCGCCGCTGCCGCCAGCCCCCCGCCCGGCCCCTCCCCCCCGCCACCGCCACCGCCACCGCCACCGCCCCTACTGCCACCAGCGCGCCAGGCCAGCCAGAGGAGAGCGGGGTGGGGCCCTGCAAGGCCACGCCCCCCACCCGGCCCTGGCCTCTGAGTCGCGTCAGAAACAGCCGCGGCGCACCACGGGATATAGAGTCCTCAAGTCTGGCACTTTCCTCAAAAGAGCGCGCTACCGTCCTACAACTCCCAGGAGGCATTGCGGCTCAGCGGGGCCGCGTGTGGCTTCGGGGCGCAGGGAAGGAGCGCGCCTTTGCCTGCGAAGACTTAAGGGAGATGTAGTTTGTTTTATGGTCCCTGCGCTCCGCGCGGGTCTTTCCCATGGGCCTGGGGTGAAGTTTAGAACCCGTGATCTGGGGGGCGGAGCAGTCTCGGGAGGCGTAGGGCTTGCATCAGAATCGTTTTGTGGGCGCTGCAGGTTTAACGCCTTAGCGCGTTTTGGAATCGGCCGGCTGCAGAATTCAGGGCCCCTGGTCTCTCCAGCCTCCCGGCTTTGCCTCTGCCTCAGTTTCTTTCCCTGACGGCCAGCGTGCCGTCTGGGTGAGTCAGGGCATATGCTAGGGCGCAGGCGGATGGTGGTTAGCTTAATTATGGCTGTTATTGTTGCGATGATTATGCCGCCTTTACACAGTAGTCACAGCTTTATTACCAGCTGGCGCCCTCCGGGGGCTGGTTTTAGCCGTCGGAGACACTGCAGTGGCTGCGACACGAGTCCCGGACCCGTAAACCAGTTTTGCTGCCTGAAGGCTAACAGGATGCCGGAAGCGAGTATTACCCCTCCCCTTTGTTTTGAAGCTGAACCAATCCGGGACAACCGAGTTTGGTTTTAAAACTGGGCTGTGGAAGGGACCTGGCCCCTATTTGGGGCGGGGCTGGGGATCCGGTTATGTCAATCACTGCGAAGAAGGGGGAAGTAAGTGCCCTGGAATAGAAACTTGGGTGAGGCCCTAACTTTTGACACTGTTGCCAAACCATCTTTCTTGCTCTTTAGGGTTCTCGCAGTCAGCAAAAAGCAAACACATTCAGCGACATAAACCAGTGTGCAAGGTACTCGAAAGGCAGGGTGAAGAAGCAGTTAGTGTTCCTGTATGAGAGTCAGGACGCCAGGGTTCAATTCCCAGCCCCAGGTCTATTTCATGACTCACCACTCACCATATGTCCACTTCCCTCCTCTTCACAAACAGAAACATGCTTTCATACAGCCAAAAAATAGAACAGCTCTTCCCTCCAGACCTCTGTTTTCGTTGGAAAACTAGAAGCAGCAACAGTGGCTTACCTCTGGTAATCCTTTCAGGGGTTCAGACTTGGTGCAATCCATGGTTTCTCCACCAAGACCACAAGGAGGGAGGCAGGTTACTGATCATGTAGTTGCTGTCAACATGGCATACTCCCCAAAAGAGTGGGAGCATAAAGACAAAAATCAGCAAAAAGGCCTAGCAGATCCAGCTAATTATGGGGTCTTCAGAGGTTGAAAACAACTGTAACTTCTCTCTTTTTCACAACTCTGTTCAGCTGAAGGAAGGTTATGTTACAGTGGACAGCCCTTCCCAGGGGTACAACCCCACCTGGGAAACTGCTACTTAGACACTGAGACCAAAGGGCACAGTGAGAGATCTCAAGAAGGATGGGGATTGGAAGGGAAAACTCAGACCATTTCCCCAACATTCTCATCACCACCAGTTCTGGACTCTCCTGATAACTAGGGCCTCCTGCACTCACCTGATAACGTTTGCCCTCTCCTCATCAAGGATCTTTCAGCCAGCCACCCCAACACACAATTTCACACTTCATCCCAATCCCCTTGTCTCCTAAGTGGATAATTTATTTAAGAGATGGGAGGGGACAACCAATTTTGATATCCCATTCTTGAACAACTAGGCTTACCGCCAACAGGAATGAAGGCTGGAAGAGGAGTAGGCTGAACAGCAATGTCTTTCCAGGAGACCAGAGTCCAGGGAGATGGAAGGTGGTATATGTGTTTAGTTTCCTGGAGGGGTTACTTATGAGGTGCTTGGCTGTGTGTGTGTATATATATATCATGGACACACACACACAAACATTTTTCCTGGTATGCAATTAGTCATTCTTTGTATATAGTACCTTCACATACGTTGTAAACTCACACTTGGCAATCTTATATTTTATGTTATGCCTAGGCCAAGTTCACTGTTAGATTATAAATTATCCCCCAGTATTTTCTCCGAGGACTTTTGAGGTTTATTTTTTACATTTAAATACCTAATCCATTTGGGATTTATCCTTATGTAGGATGTGTAATGGAAACCAATTTCTTTTTTTTTTTCTTCTAGATGGATAGGGAGTTGACCCAAGTCATTTGCTGTGAAAAGTTACCCTCATATCATATCATCACATATCCTATACTGATATATGTATATATGTATATGTCTATATATACACACACACTGATATATGATATATGGATCAGTTTCTGGACTGTCTTTTTATTTATTTTTTTTCTATTTCCAGCACCTATGTCATTACCATACCACAGTGTGGTAATCTTTGTACTTTCATATTATCTTTTTGAGCTCTGGACACTACTTCCTGAAATCTTTCTTTCTTAACCTCCATGACCTGATATTTGTCATTAATTCTTTAAGCTTCTCTGGCTACTCTTCAGTCTCCTCCACACCATCTTTTCTCTATTTGTTCATCCCCTAGACATTATTATCTTCAGGAACCCAGGTCATCCTCATTCTATACACCCTTCCTGAGTGTCCTTATCCACTCCCATACTTACGGCTCTCAAATATATATATCTAATCCTAATGCTTTTCCTAAATATCTTTTCACTGTCCACTGAAACAGGAAATGCAACCTATGAAAAACTGAAACTCACCCTTCCTCCGTACCCATGCCTCAATAAACCTGGTCCTCATCTAGTGTTCCTCTTTTTTTTTTTTTGAATGGCACAACTGGCATAGAGCTATTAAAATTAAACAAAAACATGCTTGTCTTCATGGCAGTGTCTTTTGTATCCCTCTTCTTCCTGAGATCAAACACCAAGTCATGCTCATTGGCTTACTTAATTATCTCTATGGTTCATCCAGTTCTCTCCACCCCACTGTGAATACCTAGTTCAGGCCTCTTTCACCATGCACTTGGGTAATTGCAGTTGCCAGTTTTAACTGGTATCCCTGCCTCCTCTCATATCCTCCCCGTAATCTAATCTCTGCCCAGTAGCCAATGGAGATTAAATTTATATAATGTAAATTTAATCATGTCACTTCCCTACTTAAACTTTATCCCCTGACAGGATCGAATGCAAACAACGTATGAGGCCTTGGCATGATCAGGCTCGTGTTTGCTCACCACAGCCTCAACTCTTTATAATGTGTACTCTTTTCATTCCTTGAATAGAGGATGCTCTTGTCTCTCAGGGTGTCCAGGACCAGTAGGGTATCTTCTTGAGCTTACTCATCCTACAGATCACAGTCTCACCCCAGTCCTTCGCATCCACAGCGCGTGTACGCCTCATTTTATAATTTAACACCCTGTATATTGTCTATAGACAGCGTCCGCCTCTGGCTTGCCTGCCACAGTCTCCAGTACCCAGGACAGGGTCTGGCACGAAATAGGTGCACAGTGAACTCAGGCGAGACCAGAGGCGCGAGGGGAGTGTCTTTCGGGAGTCAGTCCTCGGTGGCTGAGAGCGCTCGGGTTCCGTGCTGGGGAAGGGCTCGGCGTACCCGCGCGAGGGTGTTAAAGAAGGAGCGCAGGGCTCAAACCCCAACCCAGCCTAGCCGCCACCTCACTGCCGCGGCAGCGCGCCCCGCTTCCGGCCCCGCAGAGCCGGAAGTCAAGACGCCGACTTCCCATGATGCCCCGCGGGGCACCTATTCAAACCCAACGCAAAAGAGGGAGGAGGTTGCTATGGCGGCTCCGGAGCCGGGAGTGCGGACCCGGGTCGCTGTCCCTGGTAAGGCGTGGGGCCCGCGGCTCCGGGAGCCCGGGAGCCGGTTTCTTCCCTGCTGTCGCGCCTCCAGTCACTTAGCCTCTCGCCGGTCTCCCCGGTTTCCCGACGTCCCTCTGGCTTTGGCGCGGCCCCAGTGACCCCATTGCCCCCGCCGCCCTGGATGCTGTTGCTTCGCCCCTACTTTGTCTTCCTGTCGGCACCGTCGCTGGGCTATATTTTTTTCTTTCATTTCCACAGATGAGGGCCTCCGCTTCTGGGCGGGGCTCGTCATTGTGTCTGAGGTTCGCCCGCCTTTCCACTACGCCCCCCTCTGCCCCTCCCTCCGTCACTTACATCACCTTGGTGTCTGGAATCCAGAATCTCCCTACCTTTGCCCACATCCTGGGAGTTTTCGGAGCGACTGTGCCTGTGTCGGGGCGTCTCCTCCGTGGTGGTGGCTGGTGAGGCCAACGGGAATGAGAAGACTGACTTTGGCCTTTAAGTTTTTCCTTTTCTCCTTTATTCCTCTGCACCTACCAGACATGGAGTGGTATGAGCAGTCGGAGGAAACCCACACTCCCCAGATAGAACTGCTTGAGGCTCCCTCCGCCCAAGAACCTCCCAAACCCTCGGAGCCCTTTCGCCCCAGAGACTGCTTGGTGCCAGTGGTGTTTCCAGGGCCTGTGAGCCAAGAAGGCTGCTGTCGCTTCACTTGTGAACTTCTGAAGCATATCATGTACCAGCGCCAGCAACTCCCTCTACCCTATGAACAACTTAAGCACTTCTACCGAAAACCTACTCCCCAGGTAGGCACAGATTTGGGGACTGGTTGTTGGGGGAGACTTTATGACTCTGACCTGAGGCAGGTAAAAAAGGAGGTCTAAGAAATCGTCAAGGCCAGTGAGCCTAAGCAGCTATGAGGAATGCCTTGGGCCCATGCTTCTGTCACTTCTCCCCACTCTAGTACTTTGATAGTCTAACTCTCCCAGCTTTTTCTCTGCTTTACTTTTTCTGCAACTCCTTTTGTTTTAGTCTCTGACTTTACTCATGTCTCTGATGAATACTTAAGAATGAATCATCGCCATCTCTTGTGTGCATGGCTGGGCCTTGTGAGCAGATAGATTTCATTACAGTTATATTGGGTGGGAGCCTAGTGGTCTCTTTGGGGAGCTCCCAAAACACCAGTACTGGAAAGTCTTCACTCTGCTTGTGGAAGAAATTGGCAGGTGATCTAAAAGTCCTCAACACAAGTTTTCACTCAGCCTCATTGAGTTCATTCTTGACTTCTGTGGTCTCTAAATTTCCAGTTCCTGAGCCTTTTCTGGGCTTCTGCAGTGTGAATCAGCTTGCTTTTCATAAGTGTCCTCTCTGTCCACACTTGGTATTCAGCTCTCTTGAACTCTTCCATCTGCTTTCTACTTTTTAAAATGTGTTGTTGCCTTTGCCCACTGTTTTCTCTATTCAGTTCTCTTTATACTAGGAAATTCTCTTTCTCTCTCTCTCTCTCTATTCGCCTTCCCTTGTTTTCTCCTTCATTTAATTCTATTTCAGAGGGCAGCACAAATAGGCATGTGTTCAATTTTCCATGTATTACTGGAAGACCAACTCCAGAATCACCATTTTAGGATTAAATTATCCTCATTCCTGTTACCACTCCCAGGACAACAAAAATTTGCCAACTACCATGCTACCAACCTCCTTGATTTATTTTAGTGCCTTATTTTGTAAAGACAAAATAAGGCACTAAATAAATAAATATTCCCATGCTGCTCTCTGCATGGGACTATTATGGTTTCATACTCACTCTGTTTCCTTTTTTGATCTATTTCTCTCTGAAAAAGCCCAGTGTTTTGGCCATGGCAGTTCATTGAATGGGAACGCCAGTCCCATAAATCTCCTACATCCCAAGAGGGTTCTTCAGAGGGCGTTATTTAGCATCTCTCTACTTTGTCCTTCCCTCTTACCATTCTTTGTCTTCACAGGCAGAGGATGTGGTGAAGAAGAAATCTCGGGCCACTGCTGAGGCGAGTAGCAGGAAATGCCAACAAGCCCTGACAGAACTGGAGAGTGTCCTCAGCCACCTAGAGGGTCTTTTTGCCCGAACTCTAGTACCAAGAGTGCTGATTCTCCTTGGGGGAAATGCCCTAAGCCCCAAGGAGTTCTATGAGCTTGACTTGTCCCGCTTGGCCCCCGATAGCATGGACCAGAGCCTGAGCACAGCAGCTTGTTTGCGCCGTCTCTTCCGAGCCATTTTCATGGCTGATGCCTTCAGTGAGCTGCAGGCTCCTCCGCTCATGGGCACCATTGTCATGGCACAAGGGCACCGCGACTGTGGAGAGGATTGGTTTCGACCTAAGCTCAACTACCGAGTGCCCAGCCGGGGCCACAAACTGACTGTAACCTTGTCCTGTGGCAGTCCTGCCATGCCAACCACTGCCTGGGAGGATTACGTTTGGTTCCAGGCACCGTTGACACTGAAAGGCTTCCATGAGTGAATGGGGATGCTTCTTAATCGTGAGCACAGTGACTAAATTATTTCCCCTCTATGGCATCAGTTCTTGTTTATTGATAAGAGGAAGGTTCCAGCCTGCCTACCTGCCTCCTCTTCATACTTCCTGATGACTGTGGCTATAATAGTCATCTTTGAATAACACGTCTTTGAATCAAAGGTTGATTTTCTCAGAGGGTGCTGGATAAACACTTCTGTTTGTGATGGGCTAGCAATCATGGATCCATAGACGCAATTATGAGGGTGATTCTTCTGCTTTTTACTGCGCTTTCCAGAAATTTTACTAGGGATATAGTATGGGTGTGACTCATGAAATTAAATATAAAATAAGTAGATAATGTATTACATTTTCTTGAAACTTTTGGCTTAAAGAAACTTTCCTGGCTTGAGGCTAGAGTGCTTTTGTCTTTCTTCTTGCCTTCTTATGCTTCCAGGCCAGTATGGGAAGTTAAGTGACTTGACAAGTTTTTATCACAGTTTTTGATAGGAAAGTTGGGACTGGAGTCCTCATTAGCTAACTCCAGCCCTACATTCTTTCCTTGCCACTTGCTGGTTTTTGTGATCCTTAAAGTATCTGTGCCCAAAGCAGAGGTCACATGGGAAGGGGGCTGAGAAAACTGTCTTTGCAAAGTGACTAAACTGTAGGCTGAGGCCCCCAGCACTGACCTTTGTTAATCAGTTCCTTGAAGCCAAATGTCCCTTCTGCCCTGTCTGGTGGCTTCTAGCAGTGACTATTGTCTCTACAAACACTGCCCTCCTTCCTGTGGCGGTTCCTTCTCAGCTACATTTCTGTCTCAGCTACCTGTTCTTGCTTTTATTCGCTGCCTTGCTTCTGCCCTAACCACGAAGCATTGACCTTTGTCCCTAAGAAACCCTGCTTATATTTTAAGTTGAAGACAGAATTCTCACTCTCTTGCTGTTGGAGATAGAGGTGTATGTGTCTATAAGTATGGATAATAGAAATATAAACTTTTTTATGTTTTAAGGATTTTGTGCTTTTATGTTTTGTTAAGTAAACATAAAAATAGTTTATATTTTATTCTATATTTTAAGCACTTTACATACATTGTCTAATCTTAACAGTCTTGCACAGCATTTTTATTGTTCCTGTTTTATAGATGAATGAAATTTGGGGAGATTGAAATTACTGGCCTGAGTGACACTGGATTCAAACCCAGCCCACCTGGCTCTAGAGATTGAGTGCTTTCCACTGTGTTGTACATCCTGTGTTGGTGTTTTGTTTTTTTTTTATTCTGTGTTGTTTCACTCTGAAATAATTAAACAAGATTTGCCCTGCCAGAGGTGGTAGCATTGGAATGTTGCAGGACTCCCTTCTCTGGCTTTAGATTGTGGTTCCTGATATGAAATTGCCATTCATAGGTGCTAAGTAAATATAGAATTAATGAAAATGAAAGGTTTGTTTCCTTGACTGTGCTATCACTGCTTGAAGCATATTCCACCAGCTAGAATTTTGACTAATTGTCTGATCTATCTTGCAGAAGAGGAATAGGGTCATATCTCCCACTTGAGAAAGGACGGGCTGAGGGGTCTGACTAAACAGGGGGAGCGGGTTGAACAATGACGTTATAAATTGTTTTGAGATGGAGGATACATTCAGCCAAGACAACTCCCTTAAAATACTAGTTTTAAAAGCCTCCATAAACAATGCCTAGACAATCAAAACAAAATAATTATCTGGGAAATTTAGACACTTCTCTGTTGGCTTGGCACGTATTTCATGAGTCCTCCAAAGGAATCCAGAAATTAAAAGATCAGTTAATATTAACAATAAAGCCCATCTCCTTCCATGACAAACTTGCTGAAGAATCTGTTTTTATGGGTTTGACCTTGGACTGCAGAGGTGGTTGTGTTATGGCATTTTCCCAGAGAAATCAGGCAGCACTCAGAGAGGCGTAGAAAAATTTAATCATCACATTGGCGGGCTCATGGGATAGCTCCCAAAAGTCTGGGCCCCGAAAAGCAGAAATGGCGGGGTGTTTTACAGTTTGTATGCAGAACAGTCTTTAGCCCAGGCAGTGAAGAGCCCCAGCTGCAGCGGGGTTCTGGCCTTTCATCTGTGGCTACCATTTGAATCTGAAAACAGTAGTTATGGGGCCCAAGATAGATATATGTAAGTGGTAGCTGATGGGAAAATGTAGCTTTTATTTTTATTTTTTAAAGATTTATTTATTTATGCATACAAGAACCGGGGTACAGGCCAGAGATGCGGGGGGTGAGAGGATTCACCGGAGACAGAGTGGGGAACAGAACAGACAGATTGAAGTATACTGCTGAGGGGAGCAGTGGGCAAGACAGGAGAGGTCTGCTGCGCCATGTGGGTTGCTCCCTGGCCGGCCAGAGATTGAACTCATGCTGCAGAGGCTGCGGATTGCTTCATAGTGTGGTGCTTAACTCCTTATGCCACCAGGGAGGCCCCGGAAAATGTAGTTTTTAAATGTCATCCTTTTTGTATCTCTCTTCACACTCTCCTGTTGTGGCCTTATACCTTGCCCCACCTTGCCCCCCAAAAGGTCTCCATTTGTCACTTCAAGTGGAATAGACCTATAGAAGGTAAATAAAGAGACACCTGAGGACTGCAAAAGTGGATGAACCCCATTCTGTAAGACTTGATTTGGGGGAGATTGTCTTGAAACCCTAAACTTATAGATTCAAGAGGGTCTCATTCTTTCCTCCATAGGTAATTCTGAAGTTGAGAAGGGACACGACTGGAGTGAAATAATACAGGTAGTTATCACGGTCGTATTATTTTTCCCAGCCTCCAGCACATGTACATCGAGGACACAATAAATATCTAGGTGTGAAATGGTCTACAAAGGGCGGAAGTATCTTACGGAATTAGGCTGGGCTGGGACCTCCCATCACACACTTTGTTAAGCGGGAAAACAAACCCCACCCACCTCCTGAGCACAGGAGGTCCCCAACTCGGAGAAGAGTAAGTTGTATGTGCCCAGTCTTTCCGGAAGGGCTCGGTGGGAAAGGCTGTCTGGGGGGGTCTAAAAAGGGCTGGGCCACCGGCTGCTGGAGAAGAGGAATCCTCCTTCCGGCCTGGCGGGAGGGCGGAGCTTTGGTCTCCATAGAGACGGCTTCTCCTAGCAACTTGTCGGGCGTTGAGCAGATTAGCAGGCGGGCGGGATGGACGCGGAGAGCCTCCTGCTGTCGCTGGAGCTGGCGTCCGGCAGTGGGCAGGGCCTCAGTCCGGACCGCCGGGCCTCGCTGCTCACTTCCCTTCTGCTGGTCAAGCGCGATTACCGCTACCACAGGGTCCTCTTCTGGGGCCGCATCCTCGGCATCATGGCCGATTACTACATCGCGCAGGGCCTGAGTGAAGACCAGCTGGCACCGCGCAAGACGCTCTACAGGTGCAGGCGGCGCCGGGGGATGCCGACCGGAGGGCGCTGGGCGCGGGGAAGGGCTGCTTGCGTTGCTGGGCTTAAAAGGGGCGGGCGTCTGAGCTCCCGGGAGCAGTTGGACCGGATCCTGGGATCTGAGACGCGGCCTGGGACAGGAACTAGAAGATTGCGGGTTAAGGGGCAAAACCCTGAGACTGGAGGGAAGCCCGAAGGGGCGGGGAAGTACGGGGGCAAAATCTAAGGGGCGGGACCCTGGGAAGGCACTTTCTGGGCCGAGGGATGGGGACAGGAGAAACTTGCAGGCGGGTGGGTTTATAGTAGAGACACTGCCAAGAACCGAGATGGAGCAAGGTAGCGAGGCAGGTGCAGTCCTGGCTTTCCTAGAAACTCAGTTTGGATCTTCAGTGGCGGTGTGAGCTCCCAGCGGGAGCCGCTGCGCGAAGTAGTGAACTCCAGGGGGAATAGGAGAGAAAGGACTTAGGAACCAGGGAAACTTCCCTAAATACTACCATACAGGGCTATTTAGTCTTTTTTTTTTTTTTTTTTTTTTTTTTTACCATCCCCATTGGCGATGGGGAGCTAACCACCCTGTAAAGTAGTCTATTGAGGTTGCAGGACATTGGACTCATTTATCTAGCCTTGTGTCAATCCCACACTGATTGGATGCATCCTGTGCTAGGCTTGAGGTTACAGAGATGGCTAAGACCCACCCACATCTCCAAGTTATGTACATCCAAGGGCGGGAGGCTTTCATGTAACCCAACAATTATAAGCAAAATGTGTTAAAACTACTGTAGAGATATTTACACAGGGGAACCAAGTCAGGACGTTCTAGAGAGGCATCGCTAAGGGAGTAACTGGCTGAGATCTGAAACACAGTTCTCCAGAGACGTGTTGAGGAGAGGACATGCTATTAGAGGGAACAGTTCTGCTAACTTGTTGGCTGGAGTGTCTGGGACAACAGCAGGCTGGTGAACGTGACGGTGGCAGCCTACAGTGTTATGTAGAACTGGATGGCCCCAAAAGTCAAGAGGTTTGAACTCTGCCCATAGGCTATGGGGGGCCCATTGAATGGCTGTAAGCAAGGAGAGTCTGCTCAGGTCTGAGTGGGCAGGATGGCCTGGGAGTACCTAAGCATTTAGGACCAGAAGGAAAAGGCAGCTAAAGGAATGGAGAGGAAGGGATGGGTTGGAAAGATTCAAGTGATAGAACTGGCAGGACTTGGGACCGATTGAATGGAAGGGAGATGAAGAAGAAGTCAAGGTTCCCCCTCTTTCCACTTAAATAAGCTGGATAAGTTCTGGTATTCACTGGGGGAGAATTTGGGAAACAGGACTAGGGAAGACTGAGTGAATTAGGTGTGAGGTGCACAGGTAATGGGCAGGGTGGTAAGGAGCCATGGTAAAGTACAGATCTGGAGTTCAGAAGAGAAATTTAGACTGAAAATAGAGATTTCATTTTAGTCCATAAGTTTATGTTCTTTCTGGACCCACCATGTGCCAAGCATTTATCTGGACCCCAGGAATTCAGTGGCAATAGAGACAAAGTCCTTGTCTTCATGGCATTTACATTATAGTATGTTGGTGGGGGTGGGCGAGGAAGAGGTGACAGACAATAAATCAACACACATATTGCATATCAACTGATGTTAAGCCCAAGAAGAACAGAGAATACTGGGCGGGATACTATTTTATTTTAAAGATTTATTTATTTATACAAGCACTGGGTACAGTCAGAAGCGTGGGAGGGTGAGAGAATTCACCAGAGACAGAGCAGGGAACAGAACAGGCAGACTGCGAAATACACTGCTGAGGGGAGCAATGGGCGCGGCAGGAGAGGTCTGTCGCGCCATGTGGGACCCTCGCCTGCTGGCAGGGATCGAACCGGCGCTGCAGAGGTTGCGGGCAGCTTCGCAGCCCAGCGCTCAACCGCTGGGCCACCGTGGAGGCCCTGGGATACTATTTTAAATAGGATGGTCGGGTATGACATCTCTGATAAGGTAGCACTTGAGAAGAAACCTGAAGCAACTGAGAGAGTGAGCTATATATTTATCAGAGGGAAGAGAATTCTAGGCAAGTGCAAAGGTCCTGAGACACATATGTGCTTAGCATGTTTGTGGGACCCCACAGCGGGTAGTGTGACTGAAGAGAGGAGTGAGTGATGGGGGAGCATTGTAGGATATGAGGTCAGAGACAAGTGGCCAGAGACAATCATGTAGAACTTTGTTGGGGATTAGGACTTGGCTCAAGGAGAAGTTAATTGGAAGACTATGCACAGGGATGTGATTGGACTTAGGTTTTAACAGTGGAGTGGAAATTAGACTGAAGAGGGAGCAGGTATGGAGGTGGGAGAGCAGTTATGAGGCTGCAGCAATATCTAGGCAAGAGCAGATTGGACCAGGGGACAATCCGGGGATGTGGTGAGAGGCTGGACTCTGGATACCAGCTAGGCAGTAGCTGGGGGCCTGGGAGTCAGGTGTGTGAGATTGCAGGGAGAAGAGGGGTTGGTTGGAATAGTTTCCTGGAAACATTCAGGGCACTGGAGGACGGAGAAGGGAGATGTCAAAGGAAACAGAAATGGAAATGCATTTAACTTTTAGGGTCCATGGATGACCTTCTCCTAAGCAATTTCTTGGGGTAGTGTGGGCAGAAATCACAGTGCAGTGGCAGAGAGTGAAAGTGAGGGGGATGGAAGGGCTTCAGAGAGGCTAATTGTTATTATGAGATTATTGCTCAGATTAGAGGAAAAAGGAGAGATAGGAAGAGAACATTTTCCGGAGTGGCGTGAATTTGAGGGCTATTGTTTTAGAAAGTTGAAAACTTTTTCTGTGCAAGGAGCCAGGGGAAAGTTAAGGGCAGAAGGTCAGCAGAGGCCAGCTGGGCCCTGAGTGGATTCGAGAGGATGGGAGGGAAAGGGCTCGCTGGCCGGTGCCCCTGAAGACTGCAGTGGAGGAGAGGTCCTGGAGCCTGGGCCGGCTCTCCTGAGAAAGAGGGCAAGAGAGCTGTGCTGTTGGCTCGATGGGCAGTCTGAACACAACTTGGGGGCCCACCAAAGCAGGGGCACCGTGGCAGAGGGAAGATCAGCTTCCAGAAACTTCTGGAATCTCACAGTTCAGGTATCTAGGAAGAAGTGCTTGGAATTTCAGCAGACAAGAAACAAAATTTTATGACCTTCTTAAAAAATAAACTTGCATTTGTATCACATGTGGCGGTGGCTGCACCATAGGCACTTAGGGCTTCCAAGGGGAAAAGGTGCGATTCCAAACCCAAGAGCTTTTCTTGGGCCTAACCCCTAGGGAGAAGGGGCAGCTGGAAGCCTGAGTGCAAGGGGGAGCTGGAATTTGACAGATGTGGATGTTGTTGGCAGCCTGAACTGCATGGAATGGAGCCTTTTGCCCCCCGCCACAGAGGAGATGGCTTTGCAGACGTCTGTGCTGAAGGGCCGCTTCATGGGAGACCCCTCACATGAGTATGAACACACTGAAATGCAGAAGGTGAAAGAAGGCGAAAAGTTCTTCGATGAAGAAGTAGTGGTGAGTGAAGACAGAGGAGGAGGGCGAGGGCCACCCCACACTTAACCCAATAGAAATCATAGTGGCAACAGCTACTGTGTTACCTCCACCACTGCCCGGCTGGGCATGGGGTCTGGGGTGTGCTAGATACTGTATCATCTCCTAATCCTCCAGCTCTGTGAAATGGCTATTTAATTTCCCAGGTGGTAGAGATATTAAGTGACTTGCCCAGGGTCACAGGGATCCTGAGTTAGAGGGTAGAGATGATGTGTGACTTTCCTGGGACTCTGGCTCTGGGATGGGGGCAGGGGCTGGGAAGAGGGGGTCTGTGCTGAGCTCTGGGGTAAGGGAATGTGCACATGCTCTTATATTTTATAATCGAGTTTGTTTTACTAGCTAATATATCCATACAATTCAAAATTCAAAAGTATAGAAAGGAATATAATCGTTTCCCTCCGGCCATCCCTGTCTACCAAGTATCCAAGTCCTCCTCTGGGGGATATTAGTGTCTCCGTTTTGCATGTATGTGAGTCCCAATCTTGCTACTCAAATGTAGTCTGGATCAGAAGCACCCCAAGTCCTTAGAGTTAGAAATACATAGTCTCTGGCACAGGGATCTACATTTTAACATAGGGGACTGAACTATACTGCAGGTCCTCAGGTCATTTTGTTAGAAAGTTGTTTCTGTAGATAGTTTATGCAGATACAAACTGCAGCAAATAACTTACTTCTATATATTTTCTTGTAATCTTAAAAAATTAAATGGCAGATGTTAGATACACAGTTCTGCACCTTGGTTTTTGTTTTTTTTTTTTAACCTAACAATATATTTTGGATATCTTTCCACACCAGTGCCATGAAGAGTGTTCCCATTTTAAAAAAATATTTATTTTATTTATTTACAGGCCAGAGGTGCAGGGGATGAGAGGATTCACCAGAGATAGAGTGGATTGTAGAACAGGCAGACTGACTGAAATACACTGCTGAGGGGAGCAGCGGGCAAGACAGGAGAGGTCTGCTGCACCATGTGGGAATCTCCCTGGCCGGCTGGGAATCGAACCCACACTGCAGAGGCTGTGGACAGCTTCACAGCGCTGCACTCAACCTGCTGCACCACCGGGGAGGTCCTGTATTACCATTTTTTTAAAAAAAGATTTATTTATGCATACAAGATCTGGGGTACAGGCCAGAGGTGCGGGGGGTGAGAGGATTCATGGAGACAGAGTGGGGAACAGAACAGGCAGACTGACTGAAATACACTGCTGAGGGGAACAGTGGTTGAGACAGGAGAGGTCTGCTGCGCCATGTGGGTTGCTTCCTGGCCGGCCGGGGATTGAACTCATGCTGCAGAGGCTGCGGACTGCTTCATAGTGTGGTGTTTAACCCCTTGCGCCACCAGGGAGGCCCTGTATTATCAATTTAAGAGAAAGAAAACCCTTGACAGGAGGGGAGGACCGGCTTGATTTTCCATGGACTTGGCCTCTACACTGTGTTGGCCAGGTGAAATGGTCACGTGGAAGGCACTTGGCCAGTGGTGAGTGCACAGCGCACTGGCAGGTGGCTCTTCCCCCACCCTCCCCTCCCCGCATCTCCTCAGGTTCAGATCAAGGAAGAGACGCGCTTGGTGTCCATCATTGACCAGATTGACAAGGCAGTGGCTATCATCCCCCGAGGTGCTCTCTTTAAGACCCCTTTTGGACCCATCCATGTCAATCGGACTTTTGAAGGTGAGTTCTCGGGGGTCTCTCTCAAGGTCAGAGGGTTCTTTCCCAAGCATAGTCAGACTCGTGTCTGGGAATCTGGAGCAAGCTGCTCTCTTCCTCAGAAGGAATAGCTGTGGCCATATCACTTGAGAGGATGAGTCCAGTGGTCTGGCATTTGGTGGTTGGCATGAGCTTCCCAGCCACTAGCCCTGGCTCCCTTTTGCCTGAGGGGTAGGGGAGCATTTAGCCTTGTGGGTTCCAGCGTATGACATGGATATGGACTTTCTGCCTTTTCACGCCTTCCTCCTCCTGGGTCTTTCATTAGGACTGTCCTTATCGGAAGCCAAGAAGCTCAGTTCCTACTTCCACTTCAGGGAGCCTATTGAGCTGAAGAACAAGACCTTGCTTGAGAAGGCTGACCTCGACCCCTCCTTGGACTTCATGGATTCCTTAGAGCATGACATCCCCAAAGGTAATAGCCTATTACTTCAAGGACACTGGGCCTACTCTGGGTCAGAGCCCTGGGCAGTGCCACCTGCCATGCTTCTCTATTCATGGGCCTGAGTAGGAATTGTTCACTGTGGGTCCTTAAGGGTGTGTGGGGGGGCTCCCTCGGGACCCCATACAGGGCTCAGCTCATAGTAAACTCACAGTAACTGTTTGCCAAATGACAAAAGGTAGGATTGTCTTCCATATGCTTCCACATACTGGACCTCTCTGTCTCTTTTGATTCTCATAGCAATCAGGAATGGAATTGGCTTGGGAAAATGCTCTTACGTGGATGCTGTACCCCAGGACAAATGTCAGGTTCTGAGCAATTAGAAGACACATCCAAGGCACTGACTCAGTGTTCCTGCTCTTTCCCTCCCCTCTGAGAACTGGAGGGATCTGTTGATGATGGTGACAATGCTGGTGATAACCCATGAAAACAACGACACTGCTTATTGTGTGCCAGGCACTGTACTTGGCTCTTTCTCTGCCTTATCTCACCTCAATCTTCATAGCTACCCTAGAAGGTAGATACTATTATTATTTTTTAGAAGATTTATTTATTTATGCATACAAGAGCTGGGGTATAGGCCAGCGGCACAGGTGGGTGAGAGGATTCACCAGAGACAGAATGGGGAACAGAACAGGCAGATTGACCAAAGTACCCTGCTGAGGGGAGCAGTGGGCAAGTCTGGAGAGGTCTCCTGCGCCATATGGGTTGCTCCCTGGCTGGCCAGGAATCGAACTTGTGCTGCAGCGGCTGTGGACAGCTTCATAGGTTGTTTCTCAATCCTTGTGCTACCAGGAAGGCCCAAGGTAGATACTATTATTAGCCCCATTTTACAGATGAAGAAATAGAAACTGAGAGTTAAATTCAGGGACACATTATTAGAGTGTTAGACTTCAGGGCTCTGATATTAACTGTGGTTCAAGTAAATGGTGTTTCCTTTTAAGCGGATCATAGGAAATTCAGGACAAGTGTCACCTCCACCACTCTGGGAAACATATTGAGGAACAATGAGCAATCCAATCCTGAGTTGGGCTGGAACTCAGGAGGGGGTAGGTGATGGTTAAATGCAATGGCTCTGGCATCAGACAGTGAGGGCGGGAATCCTGAGCCTCTCACTTACTAGCAGTGTGGCCATGGAAAAAACTCTCAATTTCCTTGTGCCTCAATTTCTTCTTTTCTTAAAGGGGAATCATGGTATTTTTCTACTTCATTGGTTGTTATGAGAATTAAATGAGTTAGCACATATATTTATCATTTATCAATCAGAGTGCCTAACACACAGTTAGGACTCAAATGAAAACTATTTATTTATTTATTTATTTATTTATTATTTTTTTTTTTTTTTTACAAACACTTTGATTTTTTTTTTTTTTTTTTTTTTTTTTTTAGGCAAAGCATTTTATTATTCAGGTTTTTTTTTTTTTTCTACCATTGTTCATTTTATTTATTTATTTATTTATTTATTTTATTTATTTTTTTTTAAATATTAAATTTTATTTTTATATTCCCCCATACAATTGCAAACGCCCCATTCTGACCCCAATCCTTCCCCTCCCGCCCCCCACCCCCCAAAAAGTGTCTCTGGTTCATAGTTTTTTGTTGATTTTGATTTTCACTTTCTTATATTCATTTTCCTGGTCCCTTATTTAAGTTTTCTAGATTCCTGCTATGAGTGAGACCATCCGGTATTTTCTTTTTCTTTTTGGCTTATTTCGCTGAGCATGATCCCTTCCAGCGCCATCCATGTTGCTGCAAATTGCATGTGTTTATCTTTTTTGAATGCTGAGTAATATTCCATGGTATATATGTACCACATCTTCTTGATCCAGTCATCTATTTTGGGGCATTTGGGTTGTTTCCAAAGCTTAGCTATTGTAAACAGTGCTGCTATAAACATAGGAGTGCAGGTGCTCTTTGGAATTGATGTTTCTGTGTCCTTTGGGTAAATACCTAGGAGTGGAATTGCTGGATCATATGGAAGCTCTATGTTTAGTAGGTCCAGAAATCTCCACACAGCTCTCCATAGTGGTTGGACCAGTTTGCACTCCCACCAACAGTGCACAAGAGTTCCTTTTTCTCCACATCCTCGCCAACATTTGTTGTTGCTAGTTTTTTTAATATGTGCCATTCTCACTGGTGTGAGATGGTATCTCATGGTAGTTTTGATTTGCATTTCCCTGATTACAAGTGATGTTGAACATTTTTTCATATGTCTGTTGGCCATTTGCATTTCCTCTTCAGAGAAGTTTCTTTTTAGCTCTTCTGCCCATTTTTTGACTGGATTATTTTCTTTGTTGTTGCTGAGTCTCATCAGCTCTTTGCAGATTTTTGTGATCAGTCCTTTATCATTAGTGTTGGGTGCAAAAATGTTCTCCCAGTTGGTGGGGTTTCTCTTTGTTTTTGTTATTGTCTCTTTTGCTGTGCAGAAGCTCTTTAATTTGATGTAGTCCCAGCTGTTTATCTTTCTCTTCACTATCACTGCTTTGGGTGATGTGTCTGTAAAGATGTCTTTGATGTGCAAATCCCGTAGTGTTTCGCCTATATTTCCTTCTATGTATTTTATGGTTTCAGGTCTTATGTCTAGTTCTTTAATCCATTTTGAGTTGATTTTTGTGTATGGTGTGAGGTAGTGGTCAAGCTTCATTCTTTTGCATGTAGCGACCCAGTTTTCCCAGCACCATTTATTGAACAAACTTTCTTTGCTCCAATGCATAGTCTTTGCTCCTTTGTCAAAGATTAGTTGACCATAAATCTGTGGGTTTATTTCTGGATTTTCTATTCGATTCCATTGGTCTGTATGTCTGTTCTTGTGCCAATACCATGCAGTTTTGATGATTATGGCTTTGTAGTATAGTTTGAAGTCTGGGAGTGTGATGCCTCCATTTCCTTCTTTTTTTTTCAGTAGAGCTTTGGCTATTCGGGGTTTTTGGTGATTCCATATGAATTTCATCAATAATTGTTCTATTTCTTTGAAGAATGCCATTGAGATTTTGATTGGAATAGCATTGAATCTGTATATTGCTTTTGGTAGGATGGCCATTTTAATAATGTTTATTCTTCCAATCCATGAGCAGGGGATGTCTTTCCATTTCTTTGTGTCTTCTTCTATTTCTTTTAACAGTGTTTTATAGTTTTCTTTGTATAGGTCCTTTACCTCTTTTGTTAGATTTATTCCCAAATATTTGATTTTTTTTGTTTCGATAATAAAAGGGGTGGTTTTTTTGATTTCTTCTTCTTCAGATTTATTGTTTGTGTATAGGAAGGCTACTGACTTTTGCGTGTTGATTTTGTATCCTGCCACTTTACTGAATTGATTGATGAGTTGAATTAGTTTTTCTGTGGAGATTTTGGGGTTCTCTATGTATATTATCATATCATCTGCAAATAGTGATAGTTTGACTTCTTCTTTTCCTATTTGGATTCCTTGGATGTCTTTCTCTTGTCTTATTGCTCTGGCTAGGACTTCCAGTATTATATTGAAAAGCAATGGTGAGAGTGGACATCCTTGTCTTGTTCCAGATCTTAATGGAATTGCTTTCAGCTTTTCACCATTGAGAATGATACTGGCTGTTGGCTTGTCATAGATGGCCTTTATGATGTTGAGGTATGTTCCTTGTATCCCAAGAATTTCAAGGGCTTTTATCATGAATGGGTGTTGCACTTTGTCGAAAGCTTTCTCAGCATCTATTGATATTATCATATGGTTTTTATATTTCTTTTTGTTGATGTGTTGGATAACGTTGATTGATTTTCGGATGTTAAACCATCCTTGTGCCCCTGGAATGAATCCAACTTGGTCGTGGTGAATTATCTTATGGATACATTGTTGGATTCTGATAGCTAAAATTTTATTGAGGATTTTTGCATCAGTGTTCATTAGGGAGATTGGCCTATAGTTTTCCTTTTTTGTGTTGTCCTTATTCGGTTTTGGTATTAGTGTAATATTGGCTTCATAGAACGTGTTTGGTATTGTCCCTTCCTTCTCAATTTTTTGGAAGAGTTTGTGAAGGATAGGCACTAATTCATCTCTGAATGTTTGGTAGAATTCATTTGTAAATCCATCAGGTCCTGGGCTTTTGTTTTTGGGGAGGTTTTTAATTACCATTTCAATTTCGCTGCTTGTAATTGGTCTGTTTAGGTGTTCTATTTCTTCTTTATCTAGCTTTGGGTGATTGTAGAGTTGTAGGAATTTGTCCATCTCCTCTAGATTGTTGAACTTGTTTCCATATAACTGTTCATAGTAGTTACTGATTATTCTTTTGATTTCTGCTGTGTCCGTTGTGATTTCTCCTCTTTCATTTATGATTCTGTGTATTTGTGCTTTCTCCCTTTTTTCCTTTGTGAGCCTGGCTAGGGGTTTGTCTATTTTATTTATTTTTTCAAAGAACCAGCTCTTGGTTTCATTGACCTTTTGGATTGTTTTTTTAGTTTCAATTTCATTTATTTCTGCTTTGGTTTTTATTATTTCTTTTCTTCTACTGGTTCTGGGGTTTTTTTGTTGTTCTTTTTCTAGATCTTTGAGCTTCGAGATTAGGTTGTTTCTTTGAGTTCTTTCTTGTTTTTTGATGTGAGCTTCTATTGCTATATATTTTCCTCTTATTACTGCTTTTGCTGCATCCCATACATTTAGGATATTGGTGTCCTCCTTGTCATTCAATTCAAAGAATTTTTTAATTTCTTCTTTGATCTCCTCGTTAGTCCAGTGGTCTTCCAGTAGTGTGGCTTTTAATCTCCATGAGGTAGGATAGTTCCTTGCCTTCTTTTTATGATTTATTTCTAGTTTGATGCCTTCGTGGTCAGAAAAGATGGTTGGTATGATTTCAATCTTGGTGTATCTGTTGATGTTTGTCTTGTGCCCCAGGATGTGATCGATCCTGGAGAATGATCCGTGTGCGCTTGAGAAAAATGTGTACTCCGTTTTTTTTGGGTTTAGTGTTCTATAGATGTCTGTTAAGCCCAAATGCTCTAGGTCC